AAAAAAAAAACCAAAACTACTCATGAACGAAGTCACAACACTTTCAGCCCTAACCACAAACAAAGCCAGGCACAGTTACGTACCCGCCATCACACGACAGCCCTTTAGCCGAGCGGTCCCGCTGCTGGCGCGGACCACCACCTCTCCTCGACCTCCCCTCCCCGCCGCTCCCTGAGGAGCAAGACACCCCGACAGCCGCGCTACTCAGCGCCCGCCCTACACCCCAAGCAGCCCCGCGGACACTCACGGGTCATCGCGACACGCTGAGGCCGCGCAGCACGCCGAACAGCCGACAACTGACACCTGCTAGAACCTTCTCCCGCCCCGCCCACCGCTCCCGCTCTTTATGAAGCGCTACCGGCCCGCACATCACGTGAATCAGGCGCGGCGCTTTCTCCAACCAGTGCCCTGCGCGGTGGGGGCGGGCGGACGGGCGTACAATGACGAAGCGGCGCCTCTCGCCGGCTGCGTGGAGGAGGAGGAGGAAGAAGACGATGACAAGGAGGAAGAGGAAGAGGAGCATTTCCGTTGGGGTGCTCTACCTGCGTCGCATGCTGATGACGTCACGGCCGCGCCGGTGCGCCGCCTGCGTGCGCGAGCCGGCCCGGCCGCGCCGCCCCGCCGCCCGTCCCCCCTCGCAGCCTGCGGCGCGCCTCCCGCCGGCCCGGCGTCATGTTCCGCCGAGCCCGCCTCGCCGTGAGGCCCAACGTACGGCCTGTCGGGAGGGGTGCCGGCGGCGCGACGGAAGCGCAGCCGCAGGGCTCCCCGGCGGCTTCCAGGGATGAGGCTGCGGCTGCCGAAAGCCGGCGGGCCGACAGGTGGGTCCCGCCGTGCCGCTGGGCGTGAGGAGGGCTGCGGACCGCGCCGCGGGGCTCCGGCTTCTGGATGCGTCGGTCCCGGCAGGGCGGGGTGGGCCGGGCTCGGTAGCCGCAGCTGGCCCCTGGAGACTCCACAACGCTGCATGCAGCCGGAGCTGCTCGCACGCCGCGGTGTGACTCGGCATTCTTACCGCACCTGCTGCTCTGCGTTGGCTGCCGTGTGCACTGCCGAGCCGAAACGCTCTGACTTTTCCTCGGGCTTTTTTAGTATCCTAAGTGCTTTTCATTGGAGTGGAAATAAGGTTGGGCTTAGGAGCAGTTCTCCCAGAGCTGTCTCCAGTCTGATAAGTGCCCTTAAGAACATTCTTCCCACCTGCTGGTCTGGCATGTTGCATTATTACCTGTTTTTTTTTGTTTTTTTTTTTAAAGTTAGAATGTGTCCTTTATGACATTCTGTGGTGTGTGGTTTTTTGTTTTTTTTTTTACAATTTCTGTTTGCTTTGATATAAACACAGGTATTTAGCTAGGCTAGGCTTCCAGAATTCAGACAGTGGGAGAAGGGAGCCTTGCCCAGCCTGCAAGTACTGGGAGACTGGGGGCAATTTTCAGTCCTGGGAGCAGGTAGTAAAAGCTCAGGTGAGAGCTGCTGCTTTATTTCCTACATTTGCTCTTCCTAAATTCTACTGAATTCTTCTGTTTGGTTCTGAAGGCCTCTGCTAAGCAAATAGGAGAGGGCAGCCCCAGGGATTTACTGCAGTGTAGGCAGTTATTAGCTTCTTGGAAAGCTGTTTCTGTAGATGATGCATTTTAAAGATTGACTGCCTCTGAAGATACAAGGATATGTTCTCAGTTTGATCCAAATTTTAAGAATTGGTGGAATACAGCAGAATGTAGGCTTTTGTGCTCTGCAGAAAATTTAATGGCAAATATAGACATCTTACTTATTCTCTTGCCCCACCCAAAGCATTCTGTCCAAACCTCTTCAACCTGTACTGCTTTTCCTTTGTCTTCTAAACTCTGATTTGGTTTTGGTGATTATCAGGGAAGTGAAAATTCCCTGAACATGAGATTAAAAGTTCTTTTTACTGTGGTCTCTGCTAATACTGTGAGCTGACTTCAGTAGGCAGCCCAGCCCCACACAGCTGAGAGAAAATTGGAAAGGTAACAAAGCAAAAATTTGTGGGCTAAGATCAAGATACTTCAGTATGCAAAGCAGAAGAACTGCACATGCAACTAAAGCAAACCAAGGAGTTCGTTCACTTCTTCCCCCTTGACAGTCTTTTCCAGGAAAGCAGGGTCTTGGGAAGATGAACTCATTCACTCTGAACATTCTTCCTGCTTCCTTCCTTTCATCAGCTTCTTCCTCTGAATGCAACCTCACAGGATATAGGACATCTTTCTGGCTAGTTTGGGTCAGCTCTCCTGGCCATGTTTCCTCCCAGACTCTTACGCATCCCCACTTCTGCTGGCAAGGCAGCATAAGAAGCAGTAAAGGCCTGGAACATGGGCAAGTACCAGTTAGCAACCACTGAAACTTGATAAATTATCGACAGTATTTCACCACAAAGCCAAAACATAGCAACATATCTGCTGCTGTGTGGGAAATTAACTCTGTCCCACTCAAAGCCAGCACAGATAAGTTATATTTAACTATGGGAAATCTACTATGGTACTCTAGGTAAAGTATATGTAAGCCATGGGTAGCGTGGAGATCAGAGAATTTCTTGCCACTGTTTCAGGCTGTATAATCACCAGAGGACACTGGATTGAGTTTACCAGGTCTCATGTAATAAATAGTATATGGTGAAGTTGCTCAGTTCCTGTCAAAAGATATGTACTAAATGCTGAGAGATTATTTGGAGAAGTTTTGCTTTTTTTTTTGTTTTTTTCATTTATGCCTCCATTTGCTTCTGAGTACTTCTGGAGTTGGGTAATTAAACCATAGGTGTAGTCAGTGGTTCACAAACAAGAAATACACGTGAAGTTAAAAAGCTCTTTGTGACTCAGTTGTAATTCTGCTGCAGTTTTACTGTGAGAAGCAGCTAAGGAGATGAATACTAGAATTGTTTAAGATAATAGTGATGAAAGATTTTGCTTACACTTTGAAAATTATTTCTATGTAAGAGATTAAAACAGTACCTAAATAAGAAAGTTTTCAGGAAGGGCTAGAAGATGTTCTCCCTTGAAGTCCATTTTTCAATATGTTCAATGAATAAGCAGCCAGTTTCACTCTTGAAATTTTTCATGCTCTTAAAAAAAAAAAAAAAATCAGATTAGATTTTACCTATTTGTATTAGAGGAATGCATGGGTTCCAGTGAAAAATCATAAGGCTACTTGTGCATACCTTTACTAAAATGTTTTTAAAGCCCAACACATTGTGTGGGGTACTTTTTTTTTACATACATTTGTTAACTTTATCATACCATGAAATATGATATTCTCAATAAAAAGGTTAGAGCCTCCAGAAAGAGGGGCAAAACAGGAATATGTGAATTTAACATTGTTGGTCAACTACTTTGTAGCATTAATACTTAGCATTTGAAAATATGCCATTTCTCATATCTAATTAGTTTGAAGAATTGACAGGTATTGGATAGTTCAGCTATGGCTTCTTGTATACAGTTGTATTTTTCTATACTGTGTTTATACTTTTTGGTGCATTAGCATGTTCTGATAGCACGTGTTGTAAGTCTGTCACTATTGAGTATTTCAGACTAATCTCTTACATTTTCCAGTGATGAGAAGACTAACAGCTCAAGTGATGCTGGAGAAGCCAGTAAACCTACAGATATGCCTACGCAGAGAAGAAAACGGATTTCTACTGTGCCCAACCTTGTCAGACCCAGAGCTGGGCCTTCATCTGATCTGCATACTGCATCCAAACCACAAAGGCGAGCATCACAGGCTCCTGATGGCAATACTTTGCTTCAGAAGGATTCTCTTCCATCAGAGAAAAGTCATGTTGAAAACTCTTTAAAGTCTCCCATGCTACCTGAAAAGAAAACACCTGTGCCACAAGTGCCACAGTTTTCCCCACTAAAAAAATCAATGAACAAAGAACAAACTGTAGCTGCTCAAAAAAATGACGATACCTTGAAGAACATACCCTCGCCATTTAAGGAGAGACCAACACAGGAAACATCAGTGGCACAGGAGGAAAAGCTACCTCCAAAACCACCTCCTGTGAAAGAGAAACGAATATGTTCTGACCGTGAAAGGATCCTCAAAGCTCGGAAGTTAAGAGAAATGCTTAAAGAAGAGCTGAAGAAAGAACGGATGGTAGGCTTCTACCCTGAGCAGTGCTGATTTATGAAGGGCAGAGAAAGATGTTATCTATCCAACATTATCATTGCTTCTTTGCAGTAGTGTTTCCTGACAATAATCATACTGCTAATACTTCATGATATGTCAATAACTCTGTGGGAATTTAATTTATAAGCAGTAGCAATGCTGTGTTCCCTCGTTATATAGATTTCATGAGAACTTAGGTATCTTTACTTTTTATTAGACTTAACCTTTTTAAACATGAGACCATGCTACTACATCATCACTAGCATGCCAATTTTCACAGCTGAAAATACAGTGGTGAATTATGCTGTAAAAAAGCTTGGAATTTGGGATTTCTTGCATCTCTTAGGCCTTTACTGACTAAGTTATGTGACTTAGCTCTGCCAAGTTTGAATATCTCTGAGAGGGTAAATCTCTTAGGGGATATGTGGTCTCTTTGCTAAATATACACTTTATCATAAACTTACCAGTTCAGTGTAAAAACAAAACAAAAAGTAACCTCCAAATTCCACCAACAAAAGAACAAACTTCACTTAACTACAGTATATAATAAGCAAATAATACTATTTATGAAATAAAAAGTACTTCCTGGTTGAAATTGTTTTTTTGCTTTTATACAGAAACAATTGAAACACAGGCCTCCAATAATTGAAGGATGTTCTCCACCAGATCGCACTAAAATGACCATGAGAGACTTGATTTACTATCTACCTGAAAACAATCCCATGAAGTAAGTGTGGCTTTTTTCCTTCTCCTTGGGTTAAATGATTCTTCTTCTATTTCTGCCAATTTAATGATTATGAGGAGAATTCTGAAATCTGGAGCATTAGCACAGATGCAGTATTATTATAATGGTAACAAAAGCTTCTAAACACTTTCATGTCTACTCAGTCTTTGTATAGAAATGAAAACTTAGTATACGTGTTGAATTGTAAAAAGTCAAATCTTTCCCCACAGCCAAATCCTCTCTGTAGAGATGCAGAGTAGTAGTAAGTTGGTCTTTGCTACATAGGCTCTGTTAAATTTATTGCTAGAGGTTATGAATCATTGCAAAATCTAGTAGACTCTGGGAACGAGCATTTCTCTTCCTAGGTTGAGGAAGTGCAGAATACACCTCAAGACCTTGAAGGTATCTCCATCCCATCTGAACAGGTGTGGCTGCTGCTACTCTTCCTTAACCACAGTCGCCATAAGTATAGCTATCTGAGTCCTGTTATTCCTTCCTCTCTAGGTTCATAAGCACGC